ACAATACACATATATATATATATATATATATATATATATATATATATAAAAATTTTAACAAAAATTTTCTCTGGTATTATATAAATATAAATATAAAATAAAAAATTTCAAAACTAAAAATTATAAATTGAAACGATTTTTTTTGCTATTTTTTTTATATGTCATGTCAATGTATTTTAAATTAATCTTTAAATATATATTAGTAATAACAAGTATTAAATGATTAAAAGATCAATATTTGCAATTTTTTATATGTCAACACTTTCATTAATGGAAAATTTCTGTTTTCTGTGAAATATGCAATTAATATTCTATACATGGTGATGGATTTAAATAATGAGCTACTATGTAAAACAAATTAATTAAATTTTATTTGATTGAATTATATTTATGCTTATTTTTAAGTATACAATAATTAAAGTATATACATGTGTGTTTTATGTAAATATATACGAACACATATTTGAAAGAAATTTTTGAAAAATTTATCGTATTTATCGTTACGCATAAAAATATGCATCTGTATATAGAATAATTATTATATAATGGGGACTAACTAATGGGAGTAAGTACATTCATATTGCAAGTATGGAGAAACTATTTATTTGTACTATAATTACAATATATTTCAGTTTTTTTTTATCTACCAATATAACATTGTTATGTGCAATAGGTGTAATCTAAGTACTCTTTCGAGAGTATGTATAATTTATATATCAAATCATTGCTGCTCTTATGTCGTGAAATCGCCGCACTTTAGGCATTTACAGTCAGCAGGTTCTCGTATCTTGATTTCCATCGTTTCATCTTCCGTGTTTATCAGTCTAATCCCATCCGCGTCGTAACATTGATTCAGGACAACGAATCTTTCCTTCAGATAACTTTCACGACAACAGTAACATTCCTGTTATATAAAAAAAAAAGAGAGAATTAGAACTCGACAATATATTCTATTCTCCTTCACGTGAGAATATTTAGTTGACTTACTTTCGAGAAACCCGTAGTGGTGACAACGCTTGGCTGTACTTGCGAATTACAGAATCCTTCGCATTTGGTGACTGACACCTCACTGCTACATGTTCTCCTCAGGCGTCCTATCTCATCATATTCGTCCTTAGTAATACGTACTTCTGTCTGCAAAGTCTCGCAGTTCTCGTCTTCGCTTATCTCGGCATCGCTGATTGTAATGTAAACCATGAGAACTAACAAGGACTTTGGGGCTACCAACATTATAGTATTGTTTTTGTTTTTTATTAATATATTTATATAATAAACAATCGTCACAAAAGTCTTCGGATGAAATGAGGGAAGAAAAATTCAAACAGATGTTTTTATAGGTAATTTCTCACCCTACACCGTGTACAAAAGCTAGGTCGTAGCGATCCCCTGCTGTTTTAATAGCGTAGTTCAGTCGAGGGGGTGATGGATAACGAGTCTCCTGCGCTTAGAGCTACTCGATTTTTTTCCCGCCCGAGACATTTTTTTCGATATTTTACATCATATCTGCTAATGGGTTTTTTATGTACTCGTGTACACAGTGGGATTGATCACATTTAAGCAAGATAATTTACTCTTATTCTTTCGTATATTTTAGAGCATGCAGTCGACAAAATGAGGAATGTTTTTAGCGACATCCAAAATGTATTAACATTATTTTTCTAATGAGCCGTAAAAATAATCTTACATAATATTTCACGTTCATAAACTCATTCAATGATCGTTTCTTGTACTTCCCGGACAATTGTCTCTTAAATCATTTTCGTCATCGAACTTCAATCCACACCAAATGCAGTAAAAGTACTTCTTCCTCAGGTACTTAGTAAGAATGTCAAGTTTTTCCAAATTGCTGAGATCTTCAATGTTCTGGTCAATTTCATTATCATCGGTATCATTTTCTTCTTTTTCTTCTTCTTTTATTTCCTTGCTGTCCGGCCAAAACCAAGATTCTTCAGGTTTCTCAATATTTTCTTTGGCATCTAATTCCTGGCATACCTTTTGACTTTTGTATAAATCCACCTTTTGCAATTGCTCTGCCTTTTCTTGAGCTAATCTGCTACGGAAATCTCTGGTGTTCATATTATCTGAATTTGCATTTGTGTTCTCATGATTCTTACTATACGATTCTTTTTTTTTAGTGTTTTGCCTAGGCCTTGTCTGTCCACCTTCACTTCTACGGGAATTGGTTCAGTCATTCCTGATTGAGTCTTGCCTATCCCTTGACCAGGTTTGTATCCCATCTTCATTAGCATCTCGAAACCTAGGAATGAGGCAAATATTGGTGCTATTAAGTACTTTTTTATACTTTTATTTATGTATGCAAGTTTATATGTATATGTAAATTCACGTGCATAAATAAGAATATAAAAAGATGCCAATCTCAATAATTTTGACATTTACATTACATGATAAATATTTATATATAATATGTACTATGCAAAGTGCTGACCTTTATTTGCACTAGTAATGGCAGATGCCAAACCTTCCTCCCTTTTTTCTGCTTCAACTACTCGCATCGGCTTGTTTTGTTCCTTCATCCTGGACTCAATCTCAGTCCTTTTTTTCATTAGCGCAAATTCTCTTCTATCAGAATGTTTGTATATAAGACTCGATGAAACATGTTGTTCGCAACCTTGCAAAAATTTGTCAGACATGTAGTCCTCGTCGTCCGACATTGTAGAGAGAGAAATTTATTTATTTAGTGAAATTGATTGATTTAATGTTTTGCGAAGCACTAAAAACAGAGAATAATAGATTTCATTATGAAATTTACGAGTAGATTTTATTAATAAAGTATAAAAATATTATTTTTACACAGATGTAATATTTCAAAGATTCTTTTGCAGTGCCGATGGCGATACACAAGTTTTTAATGATTATATTTTTAAAAAATACTCTTTATTTTTTACTCAATATTTTTTCTCTGACGTTATGCTAGACGCGCATTTCAGGTTATGCTCCAACTTGCGAGGTTATATACTCTCTAACTGTGTTGGAAAGGTTGATTCCTGTAAATTTTCGAAGAGTTTAACTAAAAGACTTTAAATTTGATTATTTTAATTAAAATTATTTTAATTAAATATTTTTATAGACTGTATAATTAAAGATTTTTTTCCAATAATATACAACGCGTTACGATTCCAAGAATAATTCATTTTACATACATCTATATTAATATAAAATACTAATTTCAAAAGAAATGTAATTAATAATTAAATCTAAAATATTTTATTCTGTGTTCCTTTTATTGACATGTAATCGCAAGTTTCAAGCATTTTTTCACGCGTCCGCATTATCTAACAAATATCACATATGTTATACGTAAGCCTCCAAAGATTACGTAGTCCGTAGTCCACGAGATTTCTTTTTTTTTTTTTTCCTTTTTTTTCTTCGGAGAGTTATACATGGGATCAGTGCAAGGCGGATAAGGTAGATATTTCGCGACGTGTGCCCCTCCCAACCCTTTCCCTCAGCACGGTTAACGTGGGAGAGAACAGTGGAACGCGGAACTGGAACGCGGGCTGCTGGCCACTGACACAGGGGAACGGGCGGACCATTGTATTTTCACAACTCGAAGGGCCCGTGCATCGTCCGTGCGCAATATTTTCCGTTTGTACGCGTGAGTCCGCGGTAGTGCCATCGCCGATTTGCCTCGCCGTCGTCGCGCCCACGGCAACATTGCCGACGCCGCGTGTCCGGGCTGACGTCGTCCAGGCTTGGCCCGGACGGAACGGCACGGACGGGAGAGAGCGTAACCCACACGTTCAGCCGCGAGTGTGTTACTTCGCCTGCGAGAACGGGACGACGTCGCTACAAAAACATTCCGCTATTTCGCTGACCCGTCCTCGAATCTAAAAGGTCAACTTGCCTCTTCTCGAGGCGCTCGTCGTGTGGCACTTTCCAGACGAGTCTTCTCGAGGGCCGGGGTTCTGCGGGCGAGTCCGAAGGCATTCGGCGTTGATCGAGTGAGAGAGAGAGAGAGAGAGAGAGAGAGAAGGAGGAGGAAGAAGAAAGAAAGAAAGAGAATTTCTCGACGAAAATAAGGGAAGTGCAACGAGATATTTCATTGAGGAAGAAAATATGTCGGACGTGACGTTGTCACGCCTCGTCGCGTCATGCGATAGATTCCGAAAGGTCACGTCGGGATCCTCGTGACCGTGCTCGAGGAGCGCGCTCATGTGTCCGCTGACACGCTCGGCACGCTTTGACGTGTAGCGAAGCGAGGATTTTCTAACTTACCACGGTCACGGCGGTGTGATATCGACATCTCGAGACTTGATAAGAGAATTTTTTCGGTATCGGATTACGGCGATCCGACTTACGGTTTATCGCGCAAGGATCCCTCCTCTCGAATTCGGCTCGGATTTTATCATCTACCTCGGCTATGGTTGTAGCTAGCAGCGGTGGCTGGATACAAAATGCCAGTTCGCCCGCTGGGCAGAACAACTCCAACCTGAGCCAGAATAACACGCAGAATAACAACAATAATAATAACAACAACAACAACAACAACAAGATGACCGCAAAAGGCATTCTGATCTGCCGAGACAATTCTCATCCCTTCCAGGAACGTACGCTGACGTTGGAGCAGCCAGTCAAGATCGGCCGGTCGGTAGCCAGGGCGAGGGCCGCGACGAATAACGCGATCTTCGATTGCAAAGTACTGTCTAGGAATCACGCGCTGCTATGGTACTCCTCCGGGAAGTTTTATCTACAGGACACGTGCAGTAGCAACGGCACATTCGTAAATAATCAGAGACTCAGTGCCTCCGGATTGGAGTCAACGCCCAAGGAGGTGTGCTCCGGGGACATAGTGCAATTTGGTGTGGACGTTGTGGAGAATACGAAGAAGGTTACTCACGGGTGTATAGTCGCGACCCTAAAGCTGTATCTACCGGACGGGAAGGAGGCCAAGGCTAGCCTGAGCACCTCCGTCACTTCACCCGCTGGGAATGTGTCTCTCGAAGATCTTTATAAACTTAATCAAATAATGCAAGAGGCATCGAGGCGAGAGAAAGCTCTGTATTCTAAATTAGGCTATCTGCAACAACTGGTCGAGAACACTCGGAAGGCCGCGAATCAATCGTGGAAGGCGTTGATCACGGAAGATCGTCTGCTGTCGTGGGTGATGACCGTCGAGAATCAGTTGACGGTGTACTCTAAAAACTATACCGAGGACAAGATTAGAAATGAGCTTGCGAAGCTTCAAGATGAGAAGGCGCAGTATCAGAACGCCGCCAAGGAGGCGTTGCAGAAGGTCTTGCAGGAGAAATTGGAGGTCACTCAGAGACTAGTGCAGTTGGAGGGACGTTTAAACGAGACGGAGGAGGAATGCCAGAGTTTGCACAACGTGGCCAAGTATACCCAGACAGAGCTTCAAGAACTCAGCGCGAAATATGCGGAGACGCAGAAGAAGCTTCAGGAGACCACCAACAAGTTGATGGAGAGCGACGTGAAAGTGAAGGACGTATTCCTCGCCGCGGAGCAAGAGAAGCGGGATCTCGCGAAGCGGCTCGAGGATCAGATGAAAATCGAAACGAATCTGCGGGCGAAGTTGTACATCTCCCGATTAAATTCCGTCAATATTTATAAGCAGATCACCACTCTGAAAAATTACGCCCAGACCCTGCGAGACATGAACCTGAAGCTGGAGGCCGTGGAGAACTTTGATTCGAAGGGCGAGGAGAATCCTATCGAAGCTATAAATACCATCCTCAACAAGGTAAATTCGATCCATATCGATAACACGGAGATGGACAGCGAGATCCCGCTCAATTTTTACTTCGCCAAGAGCGAACAAGATAACCAGTTCAATTCGTCGGATGTAGATCCAAAACAGCTCAAGTCCGATTCGCCCTTTGCCAAAGATCAGTCGAGCGATCTGCGAACGACAGCCGACGATAGTCTCACGGAATATATCCTGTCACCTCCGTCGTTGCCATCGTCCAAGCGGACTTTGGTCAACGGCAACTTAACCAATCTGGATAATAACGATACTAACGGAGACTCCGACACGAATTCGGAAGCGACCGACGACACGTGCAGTATTACGAACGATGACACGAGCGAGAAGAGCGTTATAGAGAATAAAAAGGAGGAGCTGGACGTGGAGCAAGTGTCGAAGCAGACATTTGCACCCTGTAAGATGGAGGTACGATTTATAAATGCCGTACCTATACGATTGGAGGAACGATACGAGTCGACAGAACAGATTGCCAAAGATGATAAAATTGCGGAGGTTTCGACAGAGGAAAGTGTTGTTGGCACCGAGGACACGATGGACAGTTCCATCGTCAACCCCACGATAAACAGGCGCGACAACAAAGAACAGCAGCAGCAGCAGCAGCAGCAACAGGATGAAGACATCGCGCCGGAGTGCGAGGAACGCGCGGAAGGAGACTACGTTAAAACTCTAAAACCCGTCACGAAGAACGACGCGATGCTACAGCAGGCTCTCCACTCCCGGGACTACGTACTGCAGACGCTGATCGGCTCGCTGGACTCGTTGAGAGGCGAAGACAGTCTGGAAGCGCAACAGATAGTGCAGAGGGAACTGGAGGAACTGAAGGATTGGCTAATTCGCGAACCGAACGAGATCATCATCGACAGGCTGAAGGAGCTATATTATCGCGCGAAGAACGACGCGCAGCGGATGCAGGAGGTCAACGAGGAGCTGGTCATGGTGAAGGAAAAGTACAACGCGTCCATCGAGGAGAAAGCGGAGTTGTCGAAGAAATACATGTCCCTCAAGTCGCAGTGCGGGGATATACTGAGTGCGACTTACGCCGTACCGATCCAATATGTGGCACCTATCGTGCTCTGGCTGGTGTGGGTGCTGTTGGAGAAAATATTCTAATCGCGTCTCTCCCCTCTATCTCTGTCATCTAATGTTCTTTCTTGTACATATATAACACACATGATGAATGTTTTTATTTTTTCTAATTGTTTTCTTTCTTTTACAATATCGACCAGGATTTTGTTAAGTTTATTCGTTTTGCCATTTGAAGGCGATCACATCGAGCACAATTTAATGTTTTTTTATACAAACGTTAAGAATTGCGTGCGTGCGTGTGTGTATGTGTGTGTGTGGGGGGGGGGCGTGGTGTGTATATGTATGTACGTATGTATACACATATTCGTTTATTTTCCCGAAACGACTACTCGGGGTTAAGAATTTAGGGAATCTCTCATAATGAGTTATTAAAGCAAGAATGTGTCGCATTAATATGCCTGACGGAGGAGGAGCGAGATCAAAGACGGGACAGAGATCGTTTATTGAAATATATATGTAATGTATATCGAACACGGAAGCTCGACTTCGCTCTCTGGAGAGTAAAAGTAGCTGGAGAAAATGTAGACACGATACCACGTAAAATGTTCAATATTGCTGCCAAGCTGCTGAGTATCACATCTCATAATTACGGCTCAATTATATAATATATTACGTATTCCGTTGCATATTTGATTATTTATAAACGATATGTTTCTCTATATCATATTCCGAGAATTAAATATGTATCCTTTACTGCGAATAGAATTTATGAGAATACTCTCGCGTGTGTCCTGAAAACACACAAAACACTCATACACACGTATACGCGCACATGTATTCTTATTTTCAATCGTTCAAAATCATCTTCGTATATTTACATATAAATAATTGTAGAAAGCGAATCTGCTCGCGAAACTATTATATACTCATTGTATTCATTACTCGAGTTAAGTAACATGCTTTTCTTTCAAGCTCTTTGGTTGAGGGCGACTCAAAGAGAGTTAGAAAGAGACCTTTGTAGTGAGAGTGAGAGTTGGAAAGAGAAAGAAAGAGATAATTGATCGTTGCGCTCACATATATTGTTAACATGCGTATTTATATTTCACAGTGTTACTCTTTCGTATCTCTTTCGATTATAAGTTCATTATTCTCGAGTGAAAATTAATCGCGAAGCACATCATGATCTTGCGATGAATCTTGAGAACCCGCGACCTTTTCTGTTGCATAATGATACTTTGTTTTCTTTCATTCATACATATGAATACATACTGGGTAGCGTGACAATACAAAAGAGCATATCTTCGAGCGACCTAACGAAGTAATAAGCGAATACGTATGTATTTACTTCTCGAAAGGCGAATCTTTCTCAGCACTCAGAGTACCGTTCTATCGATTCTACCTTGGAATGGCCTTGATATCGTCTAATAACGTCTTAAAGTGAGAAGATCCAATATATATAATCGTAGTTTTCTATATTAATTCTTTTGATACAAAACGTGACGGGAAATTGACAGTATTTTCTTAATTCGTTAGTTTAGTTTAGAGAGTGCCATGTCTACTTCTACCGCGTTAGATAACGGTATGTTCATTGTTCGTCACGATAAACAGAGGCGTGACATTTTCCAAAAAAAAAAAAAAAAATTAACACCACAAAGTCGGTCGCTCGCTCATTTAGGCGAGTTCACTCTCTTGGCAGATCAAGCGTATATATCAAAGTACATATGGTAAATAAAAAATGCTGTATATAGTAATGTTGATATAATCTTACTACCGATGTAATAGTCATACGAGAAGGGAAAATAAAGATGAAAATTAACTTAATTAATTAAAGAAGATTGAAGAAGTTTCTTTGTATTCTTAATATCCTGTATCCACCTAAATTTAGTCTGTAAAAAATAAAAATTATGCATATGCCCGAGATTTTTCGGAGTGTAAATCAACGGTTTATCGTAAGTACGTCGTACTTGGCGATATATAAGCGGGTATACGTGTTTTCTGCTCAATGCACTAATTATATCCTTATACACTTTTAATCCACCGTTGTCTTTTTTTCTTTATTCAGGGACGCGCGTATTAGCCGCGCTTAATCTGTTCATCAATCGATCGAGGGTACAACGACAACGACGCGCCGACACGTGCGATCGCTATGTGCCGTCGATAAAAAAACTGAAGATAAAGTTGGAAAAATAGCGATACGACGGGAACATCGACTGAACATCAGCAGGCGGGATGGCGGGTGGATTGAACGTGAACGCGACCGATACCACGGATCCCGCAAGTCGGATCTGCCGAGACTTTCTAAGGAATGTTTGTCATCGAGGAAAGCGCTGCAAGTACCTTCATGAACGTTCTGAGGATGATCCCGTGGAGGAATACACCTTCTGCCATGACTTCCAAAACGGCAAATGCAACTGGCCGGGCTGTAAGTTTCTTCACTGTACAGAGAGCGAGGAGAAGCGTTTCAGGGCAACTGGTGAACTGCCACCTCACGTTCTGAACCGATCCAAAGTTTGCAACAACGACAAGTCGGATCATCCGTTATGCAAAGACTTTATGAAAGGTAGCTGCCAGAGGGTGAACTGCAAGTTTAGACATTTGAAGAAAGAGGAGCCGCAGCACAATTTAATGTCTCCATCGCATCACAACGCGTCCAGACCGCAGCACAATTTTAACGGCACCAGTAATGGTGGTGGTGGTGCCGGTAGTGATGGACGCAGATACGAAGAAGACAGAAAGTAAGCATCATAGTCGCAAGTTTGGACTTTCCTGCGGTTTTATGCAGAAATTTGTAGTACGTAGTTTTACACAAAACTCGAATGTAACATTTTGTTTTTTTTTTTTTTTTTCTTCCCATAAACGCAGCTTTCATTGGCAAATGCAGGATCATCACAACAATTTGGTCGCTAATAACGGTGGTTATAACGCATCGTCGCATCCAGCCGATTACATCGGACCGCCAGAACCAAAGAGACGATTGGTATCGGGAGAAACGGTTGTGCATTTTGAAGCTTCTCCAATCGTGGGTCAGCAGCATGCGACTCAACCGACAGTTACTCCAAGTTACTATTACCCTGTGATACCACGTAATGAAGCACGAGCTATTGTGCTAGAGGACGAAAATGTATTGTTAAGGAAGAAAATAGAAGAATTAAAGAAACAGGTATACAATAGAGAAAAATAGAAATAATTGCATATATATTGCGAAATATCTCTTCACTTTTATTCTATATTTTATCTCGACTTAGGTCAGCGACTTGACAGCAACGAACGAATTTCTATTAGACCAAAATGCTCAATTGAGAATGTCAGGCAAGCGGACTGCGAACGTTACGGCTGTTACAGTCCCGGCAGTTACGATTACAAACACAGTTCCGCCGTCGCAAGCTCCGACGCCCCAGCAGATGGTCAATGCGGCCGTAGCGGCGGGCACCCTTCGGACAGTCACCGCCAGTGTGGCTACTGTTCCTGTAAGTATCGCGACCGTGGCACCCGTTTCTATTGCTGCGGTCTCCATGGCACCCGTCTCGATACCGCCGCCAATCGTCACCATGGCTCAACAAACCATTTCGATGAGCGGTTCCGGACCTCCTCAAGCGACTAATCAGCAACCGCCAAACACGCAGCAGCCTGCCAGTTTGCCCTTGTCGATATCTGGCGCAACCGCGCCTCTCGTTTCTTATCCTATCATGACGCAAGAGCTTAGGCCTGTCTTGCAGTAGATCTCATCGCAAGAATAGAAAGAACAGTTTGTATCTGATAGGATATCTATGTACACATGTATGATGTGTCACCTACTCGGCTATGTAGGCGAATCAAGGATCATATAATGCGATCATATAATCAAGGATAATATAATGTCCATCTTCCTTTATTAAATCATACTTCCCTTACAAGTACATTTGAAAGTATACAATGGAAGATAGAAACCAGCGGCTGTGGGATGATGCAGTGTATCACCGTAGTAGATAGACACATTTGTATTGATATATCATTCTTTTTCTCAAAATTGCTTTTATATTTTGTTCGCATTTTTATGCAAAGATCATAAAATCGTAAAAAAAGTAAATGTTTTATTCAAAACGATTACTTTGTTAAGATATCGTTTCTATCTTTATCTCATTGTTTATATTCGAATTTGCAGGCGGATTCTCACTATAATCTATTTTATACTTTTAAAAAAATATGTAAAATGTAATTACTTTTCTTTTATAAATAGTATATTAGAAATATACGATAATATACGATTACGCAATAACAATCGTCGATATTGTCGGCGGATATATATGTCCAAAGTGTGTATAATTGTAGAATAATAGGAGCGACAATCTATGATTACGTGATATAATTTGATAGATTAATGATATGATTATAAGATGTAGTTACGTCATGACATTATGTTCCTTCGTCTTCTTCTTTGTTTATTGGATTATATTATCGTGCTGTCATATTAGTTTCTTCTCTCCTATGTAAAGCTAAACTAGAGAGTAATATATAATAAGCAGTTAATAAGAGCACCGTCAAAAAAATTATAAAGGAGACATAAGACAAGGGATATCTCTTTTAGATAATATGTTAACATAAGTACAAAGATTAGAAAAAAAAAGATATAAGTAGTATATTAAAGATATTTAAAAAAGATTTACACCGCGCTTTATTAGTCCGAATTCGCAGAATCATACAATTCTGTACAGGTTGCTGTACATAATGTATTCCATTGCTTTTTCTTTATTTATCTAATATATATAGATAAATTTTGTACTTCTATTTTAAGTAAGCAAATTTTTGGTAAAATATTTTAATTAAGTACTTATCTCATGATCCTTCACTTTCCAATTTCTATAATTTACTTAAGCAAGCAGCTTTTTGTTAGAATGATAAAGCAAATGGTAAAAGCAATTATAAATTTGTATTTAACCCGTGATATGCAGCATACAAATCGTACAAATCGTACACGGTATATAAAAAAGACGCTGTAAATTAAATAGGCATCTTGATTTTGAGTCATATTGTTGATCATGACTCGATATATACTTGTATATATTTTGCGACAATTAGCATAAGAAATTGAGCACTATGTACTCGCGTATTTTATATATGCATACAAATGTATAATCTTTTACGTATAAATTTACGTTGAAAAGCACTTTATTAAAAAAGAAGAAATATACAAACGTGGTTTTTATCCTCAATATATTTGCAAGCGCGGGACTTTTGTGTAAATAACGAAATTGTGCAAGTTTCAGTTTTTCATTTTCAATTAAATAAAAAAGGGTATGTGAAAAAAGAATGTTATCTTAGAAATGCTTAGAACAGCAATGATATACATTATTCAATTTTTTATTTACATCATTTATATAACTTTACATTCGATTCGATAAATGCTTTAACTAATAACATGACTTATCTATATGAATGTTTTCAATATAAACGATAGAAAAAATTCTAACTTACAGTTTAATTATTGCTATAAACTGATATAATAATAATGCTAATTGAGCCTTCGCGATCATTTCGTCGACTCTTAATCAAGCATATGACGTCATCAAGTTTAATAGCTCTGATCCATGTATTTAATGACATCTATTATTATATATATTTATATATAATTCACATACATGTGTATGTTCTCTCACACTCACACGTGTGTAATAAACTTTTACATATTGCCGCTTCGTTTACTCTAACATGTCGCAGTTAAAGCTATTTTATGAAAGAATAATTATTTGTATCTACAGACTCACGACTTATAATATACATCAAATTTATTGCATGACATAATGACTCGAAAGTAAAAATAATTGCGATCCATAAATGTATACATTATAGCAAACGATTCAATTTCATCAACGCTTGTCTATTTTATGAAAATTTCAGTTTTGCATAACAAGATAACAAAAATTCACGCATTTTTTTCACATAACTATGGTTTATACAAGAGAACCGTTTTACACAAGAGGGAGATTTCTCTCAAAACTGAGTAATTTTAATAGAAAGATTTCATGTCGCAGCAGATAAAGATCTGGAACTTCTGTTTTTTAGCCAATATGCGCCAGCTAATAATACAGTACAACAAAATCCAACAAGGAAACGCAATTTCCAATGATGCTTGGAAGATCGTAATACATTGATCACTTTTATAGTCTGTTCTCTGGTATCTCTTGCATTACCCGAATTCTCAATCACAAAATTCGCCATCTCCGCTTTTTTCTCCAAAGGCATTTGCGCAGCTATTCTTAATTTCGCTTTAGCTTCTGTAAATCCACTACGTTCTATTAATCGTTGTAGTTGAAGATCTTCTTCACTAAAAGTGATAAATCATAAAAAAATAGTTTAAAGATTCTTGTTACACATTTCATTAACTCAAAAAAATTTTTATTAATAATTTATTAAAGCGTTATATCGATTGAAAATTATAATCAATATTCAATTGATAAATAATCAGATGTCTATTTTTACAGCAGATTTTTATCGCGGGACAAATTCCAGCTTTACTTAATTTTCCTCAATCGCAATTAATTAACATTTTGAGAGTTGAGAATCATGTCATTCGGTTAAAATAATTTATTAAATCATCAAGTAAAAAATATTTTATTCAAGATTTATATTATTTATTTATATAGATATATAAAGATCAGCGCGTCTCTAATCTTCGATCTCTTGCAGTCAAAATCTTGATTTTCTCCCAGGTATCGCTTTTATTCGAGATCTTTCTCGGAGCGTCAAAATATTTTTCAGACGTGTTATTATTTCACTCGAGTTCGTTATATTTAAAAATTTCAGTTAATTATAAAAATTATAATAAATTATTTTATTAGGCATCTGCAATTTTAATTTTTGATATCACATTTAAATGAATCCTATATAGTGAAGCATCCAGAGATAAACTATTCATGCAGTGCGAAACTATTAAAAAGAACTCGTGTTTTAAATAGAATAACAATCTATTATATTGGCCTGCTGATTCCTCGTAAACATGTAACAGCTCTGTGTATTCTGTCTGTATGCGTGTAAATGCATACATGTATGTCTGTAGGTATCCAAAATTTGATTTTAAGAGCTGTGATGATATATTCGCTACATAAATGACGATAAAGTTCAAGGTAAAATTTTAATTATTTTGCGCTTGAGACAAATCCGTTCCGTGATACTCTGCTGTATAATCATAAAAATAAATAAATCTGATTATCATTATGCATACCATGTTACAACTATAATCTTGTGCAGGTAATTCAGCATGTGTCCTGTCTCGAAAAGTAATGGCAGGTCCATGACTACAAAAGGATGACCTTGCAAAAAATATTTAATTGTCTGCCAATATATCTCTCTGTATATGTCCGGATGTGTAATGGCATTGAGTTTTTTTCTCTTCTCGACATCATTGAATATTAAATCACCCAATTTTGATCTATCCAACTGTTTAGTGTCCAAAAATACTTCTGGTCCAAATTCCTTCTGTATTTTATGCCATGCTGGCTTTCCTGGCTCGACGACTGTAAACATACATACATTACACACACACACACACACACACACACACACACACACACACACACACACACACACACACACACTACTACTAT